GAGTGTGTGCACCTTGCCCTTGGAGGTGGCCTGGGTTTGGCTGATGCCGTCGCCCTTCTGTCCGGCCGCACCGCCCGTCTCCACGGATCGCGCCTGACCGTCGCCGATGACGTCGGACCGGGTCTGGCTGCCGGACAGCGAGGTGGTGTCGCTGCCGAAGGCGGCGCCGCGTCCGCGACCCGCCGCCCGCGAGCCGCCCGAGCCGCTCGACTCGACGTGGGAGGCGGCGCCGGAGCCGGCGTCGGTGCCGATGCCCGGCGCCTGTCCGGCGGTGCCGACCGTCTGCGCCGTGCCGGCCGACGAGCCGTCGCTGATGGTGGCGGAGCTGGAGCCGCCGTTGGCGTCCGTGCGCGAGCCCTCGCCGAGCGTCTCGCCCTTGCCCGTGGCGTCGGCTTCGGTCGTGGCCTCGCCGGTGCTGCGCGTCTCGGTGATGGCGTCGCCCTGGCTGCTGGCCGCGTTGAGGCCGGCGTCCACGTCTGAGCGGCCGACCGAGGCGGCGCTGCCCGAGCCGAGCCCGTTGCGCTGCGTGTCGAGTTTGACGCGCGCGGCGGCGCCGCCCCGCTGGTCGGGCAGCAGCTGGGTGGCGCGCGAGCCGCCGGACACCACCGCCTTGGCGTTGCCGGTGCTGATGATGGTGCCGGAGACGTCTGCCTTGGTGCGCGTGCCGAGGCTGTGCTTCTCGACTAAGACGGGTTCGGGTGGCGGCGGGCCAACCACAACAGCGCCGGCGGGCGGGCCGGCTCCGTGCACCCCGCAGTTGATGCACGGCGCCGCTGTAAGGAAGAATCGTTTTATTGGACCGCATTCTCCACACACACACTGAATTCTGGAACATGGTTTTTGCCCTCGGCGCAACTCTTCTTATATTTCGGTGAAATATGCTAGCAATTTGGCAACAATTAGGCAATTAGTCGGGTTTCCTTTGATCTTACTCCTGTAATTCTTTGATCGAGAGTCCGTGCTGGTAACGTTGCTGTCAGCTCAAGACATTCAGTACATTCAGCTCAAGACACTCAGTAAAATAGGAAGGTGGTATTCTGACCCCGGTGCCTGCTAAATGGGTCTCTTTTTTTAGACGCCGTAGCTCAGAAGCCTGTCATTGTTTTTTATGAAACAACTCGTTTTTCACTCGATTTCTGCCCCTACCCAGGCAGAAACCATCAACGGGGAAGATGTCTGGAGGAGCTAGCAGCCTATTTACCTGCGGCGGCGCCGAGGCAGGCGACTGCCACGATCCAGCAGTGCATGGCGGACGTTCGGTGACGACGGCCGGGGGCACTGGCGGCACGCGACCCCCTCCCACCCTCTTTTATTTACTGTGGGACGGTGTGTGGGCGGCGGCTGTCGACTCGTCCGTGCCAGGGACAGGAAGGTCACCCAGGTGCCATGGGTCACCGGGCCACGGGTGTCGCTGTGCACCGGCAACTGCCGAGAATTGACGGACGGTGGGGACTGAGAGTGACTGTGAATCGACCAGTAATGGATATGGTGATCATAACGCTACCGATGTCGCAGGGTCGGCGAGAGGAGCGTTGGAGACGCTTTTACCAGGACCCTAGCGTGTCCCATTCTAGAGAAAAAAGTTACAAAAATGCTCGAGATGGCACATTTTTATTTGATTACAAGAAGAAAACATAGGGGCATCGGTATGATGCGGCAAGAATCATGCAGTATGTCGGTTGACGCGCAGATGTCTGGATGGGTCGTTGTTCCGGCTGCTGGCAGTGGTTTAGTGTTTGCCTCTGGGCGGGCTGGGCAGGGTGGGCGGCGGCGGCGGCTGGGTCGGCCGCGGTCCCTTGCCCTTGCCGGCAGAGGGCAGCACGGAGCCCTTGCCCTGTTCGGCCTCCTTCTGCTGCTGCTGCTGTCTGATGCGCTCCACCAGGCTGAGCTGGGCCGGCTGGGCGTCGGCCTTGAGCCGGTTCTGGGCGCGCGTCTCCAGTGTACCGGAGACGGCGCCGGTGCCCGAGGTCTGGGCGCGGAACGTGCTGTCACCGAGTGCGGCGCCGCCGCCGAGCGCGTTCTGCGCCGAGCTGGCCGCGTTCACCTTGCTGTTGGCGCTGCCCAGCGAGCTCTGACTGCCCGAGGTGAGCGACTTGACGGCGCCGACCACGTCGCCCGAGAACTGGTCCAGTCCGAGCGTGGACCCGCCCTCGGTGAAGATGCTGGTCTCGGCGCGGCCGGTGCGTGTGGCCGCCAGCCGGTTGTTGGCAGACGACTCGGCCGCGCTGGTGCCAGACTCGGTGGCGGTGGCCTTGGAGCTGGACTCGCCGACGGCACCGGCGCCGTCACCGCGGGTCTCCACCTCACCCTTGTTGGCGGCCTCGGTGCGCGAGGCGCGCCGCGAGGCCGAGCCGCCCGACTGGCCGAGCGCGCCGCCGGCCTCTGCGGCCGTGGCCCTGCCGTCGCCGATGACGTCCACCTTGGTCTGACTGCCGGAGAGGGCCGTGGTGTTGGCCTGGACGGCGGCGCTGCGCGCGCGGCCGGCGCCCGCCACGCCGGCGCTGCCGCGCGACTGGCCCTTGGTGCCGGAGATGGTGTCGGCGCGGGACTCGGACACGCCGCCCACCGTCTGCCGGGAGGCGGTGCCCAGCGCCTGGCTGAGGCCGCTGCTGGCGCCGTCGCTCTCAGTGGCCGTGCTGATGCCGCTGTTGCCGTCGGTCTTGGTGCCGCGGCCGCGGGTGGCCGCCGCGCCGTTGGCGTCCGCCTGGGTGCGCGCCTCGCCGACGCTGACGCCGCGCGCCGCCGCCCGCGTGTCACTGCTGGCCTGCTCGCTGTTAGCCTGGCTGAGCACGTCCGAGCGGCCCTTGGAGGCAGCCTTCGCCTGGCCGATGGCGGCCCGCTGCGCGTCGATCTGGACGCGCGCGTTGGCGGCGCTCTCTTGCGACTCCTGGCGCTCCACGGTGTTGGAGCCGCCGGCCACCTGCGCCAGTGCGTTGCCGACCGTCTTCAGCTTGCCGCCGGCCAGCGCCTTCGTCTCAGTGGCAAGGCCTTCGGGTTGAGCCGGCGTCGTGGTGGTCGTCGTAGTGGTCGTGGTAGTGGTCCGCACCGGGTTCGGGCGAACGAATCCAGTAGGCACCGCTGCGGCAAAGCACAATGTCGATCATAAAACTGTGAGAGACTGGACTGGGAGAACATCACGACGCACTGCACAATATATACCACATTGAAGATATTGTTCCATACTGTCAGGTGCTAGATTGATTCAACTTAGAGTGGGCACCGACTAGCTTATGGTTAGATAGGCTTATGATTTAGGTCATTATGCTATCAAAGAACATAAGCCTAGCTGAGTTTTAACTCGTCGTAGATGCAAACCATGCAAGTGGTCACGAATATCTGATAGATAAAGCTTCAGCAGAACGGCGCCGAGCCTGATCGAACTGCACCTACCAGAGGCGACGCTGAGAGCCGCTGCGAGCAGCACCACGAACTTCATGGTGATGGCTGGGAGGACGGAGTGCGGCGGCTGGCTGCGACCCGGGAACGACTCGGGACTGTGGCGACTCTGGGGTTCCGGTGCCGCTTTTTATGGGGCCGCAGGTGCGTGGGCCCCACGCACGTCCGCCCCCGCTGCGCCACGCAGCAAATGTCACCTGCGTGCGGCCGCTGACCGGCCGAGGCCGACACGACGGCGGGCTGTGCGTAGCGGCGGCTCGTGGCCGGACCTCTGCAGCTCGGAGTGGCAGAAGGGAGGCCAGCAGACCTGTCTACACAGAAAAGCAGCCGGACTACACCGGCAGACCTGTCTGCGTTTCATAACACAGGGAGGCACAGGGCTGGGCCGGGCAGTCATCTAGAAAGAGGACATGCCAGTGTCATCAGGTCACCTCAGTGACCTAAGGTCACTTCAGTATCATAACAGACTGGCCACGGGACATATCACAGAGGGGGCAAAAATTGGCCAGACATGGGACATGGCCAGTCGGACGAGGGCCGAAGAACGGTATGGGGGACGGGTTTCATCTCAATGGTCGTGTCTGTGAACGGAGATCCATAGGTGTAACACATCGATGTGCCATTTACCTTTTACAACTTTACAAAACAGTTATTATGTATAACCGCATCTTTGGCTGCCGTTGTCTGCTGTTTTGTAATTCAGATTAGTCATTGCCAACCCTTATCATTAAAATAATCTCATCCTTATCCGTATTGCCGTCGACAAGAAGCTGAAAATATTTCCACATTGAACACTGCTAACGTATTGGACGATTGTGACATACCGCGACTTTGTTCACAACCGAGGGACACTAAAGGGCACCACATCATGACGTAGTGCGGAAGGGAACGCTGGCATCGTGTTTAGTTTACATGCGTGGCGTGCGTATCGTTGCGTAGATTCATCGCTATACCACATTAGAACAGAACTATGTTGTCTTTGCGACCTGACGCTTAGAAGGGCCGCTGCCTGGAGTGTCAGGAGCTCGGTCCCGGCCAGTGTCAAATGGCAACTGTCACTGAACGGCCAGCGATGACCCCCCACCCCCTTTCGAAGGTCATCCCAGTCATCATGACCCCTTCGGGGTTACTGCAACCCCCGCCGCAATGCTGTCCTCAGTCCGCATCGAATGTGTCTGTATCCACCGCTCAGATCTGGCGGCCGCGTGGCGCGTAACCTATGAAATAATTCGTTACCTCGCGCAAATTGTGTCCTTTCCCAGGGAGTATCATGTGTATGTCCCTGCAGTCATCAGGGGGAGGGCACAGGCCGCACGTGGGTACCAACTATCAAATGACGCCAAAAGACAGTGACGCCGACCTCAACCCGCCCTCTACCCGGCGTTTAGAAGGCCACCTGACCACTAGGTGACTGACAGCCGCCGCCTCCGCACGGGTCAGCGAAGGCCGTCCTCCCCGACCCAGGCGCGGCGGCCGCTGACTGACACATCTGCTTGAACAAGCAGTCGGTGACAGGGGCAGTAGAGTGACGCACATACCAGCCAGCCATGGTTCCCCGCCGCTAACCCTCCACACACCACCAGTCTCACCAGGGAACAGCAAAACACCTCCAAAATAGCATTTATTCCCGCGTTACGAAGCCCGGCACAGAGACCGGAGGCACTTTTTATATAACGATTAGATAACTCCAATGGAAAATACATCTCACTGTAACATGTATCCACAACACACGCGGGCTCGGACGGCCGTATGAAGACCCGGGGCGATCGCAGCGACCTATCCTGGCCGGTGCTCGCTCAGCTGGTAAAGACATCCTCAAAACGGGGGCGCCCTGCCTCGGCGGCTTCTCCTGAGCCGCTCGCACGAAGCGGCAATTCCGAGAGCGGCTCTGCGCGCGCGCTTAGCCGGGTGCTACAGGACCGGAAGGGGCGGAAGTATCGCGGGCGCGCGCATCTTCTCCGGCACTCGCTCACTCGTTCACGGACTCGCTCGCTCCCTCTCACTCTTGCTCGCTCGCTCTCGCTGCGTCTGTCTGTACACTCTCGCCCGCGCCGCGCTCTCGGCTCGGTGCCGGCCGCCGCCGCTGGCGCCGCGGAAGACTGCTCGGTACGGGCGCACCGCTGACCAGATGACGATGGCAGCGGCGGCGGCGGCAGGGGCGGCGCGGGGCGGCCGACGCCGCTAAGTAGTCCGCCCGGTCTCACGGCGGGGCGGGGCGGGGCGGGGCGGCAGGCGCTGGCGGCGGCGGGCGCCGCGGCTCCTACCGTCTACATGTTCTCAAACGCGTCCACACGCCGCTTGGTGTTGCCCTTCCGGATCTCGCGCAGGGTCTTGTACTTGTCCCTGCCCTCCTTGACATTCTCCTTGTGCAGCTTGTCCATCTGCGTCTCCTTGGAGTCGTCGCGGGTCTCGGCCAGCTCGTCTTTGAGGGCCTGCGGATCGGTGACGGGGAGTGTCAGTAATATCAGAGGGGTTGGGTGAATGGGGGGCAAATCCTTCATCAGTCCATTTTAGAGACTTCTGTCAGCAATGAGTACGCAACGATGGAAATGTGACCGAAGAAAGTTACATTTGATGACATGCATACAAAGTTAGAAATGGGAGCAAAATGGTCACGCTGTTCACGCAAACGTAAACCTTCTGTAACTGTATCGGTCTGGCCCGGACCCGGGCTGGGTGGACGGGGCTGGGGTCGGACTCGGCCGACGCGGGCCCATGTGCCGGCCATGTGTCTCCCCGGCGGCGACACGCGGTGGACGGGAGCCGCGGGCCGCGGCAGTGTGAGGTCGGCGATAGCCCGTGGTGGGTGAGCGACCGTGTGGAATACATACAGAAACTACAAGCTATTTCGGCATTGCGAAAAATGGCCAACAAGACCGGCAGTGGGACTGTAGACGTGAAAGGAGTGGACTCGAGTGGACAGACCGTGGTGGTGGCGCCCAGTGTCGCATTCGACGCGCGTGTGATCGCCGAATTCGATGGGACCGGCGATGTGGTCGAATGGCTGGGCAGAGCGGAGCTGCTCTGCCAGCACCGCGGAGTGGATGCAGCAGCGATCATCCCACTCCGGTTGACCGGCGGAGCCTTCGCCGTGTGGGCGCAGCTGCCGGACGAAAGCCGTGGCAGTTTGGCGGCCATACGCGCAGGCCTGTACCAGGCTTTTGCGCTTGATCAGCATGCAGCATACGAGGCCTTCACCACCCGAAGACTCCGCAGTGGAGAGTCAGCCGATGTGTTTCTGGCGGACCTTCAGCGGCTGGCACAGCTGTTTGGTGGCGTACCGGAGCGTGCGCTGACCTGCGCTTTTGTAGCAGGTCTGCCCGAGTCTGTTCGGCAGATGGTGCGGGCTGGGTCTAGAGCGGAAGGGCTCGACCTTGCCAGTGTGCTGGCGCGCGCCAGAGCTGTGCTCAGCGACGAGCGCGTGGCGGCGGCGGCGGCGGCGGCGGCGGCCGGGCCGGCACCCCTCGCCCCCGCCCTCTCCCGTCAGCGGCTGTCAGCGCAGGAGGGACCGTCGCGCCGGGCCAGCCGGCCGCGGCGCTGCTGGGCATGCGGTGATATAGGCCATATGTCCTTCTCATGCCCCCGCCGAGCTGCGGGAAACGACGGAGGAGAGGACGAGTCAGCGCCGGCGTCCTCTCGCGTGCAGCACTGAGCGGCGCTCTGCCAGTCGTGCAACTGCGAGTCAACGGGCGAGACTGTCGAGCGCTAATCGACACCGGCTGCACCGATAACATCATTTATGCACCGTTCTGCGAACAATGGCAGCGTGGACCTGTCTCGGTGACGACGATGAGCGGTGACGAGTTTCAGTGCACTGGCTCGGGCAGTGCTGACGTGGTGACTGACCGGGCAGCGGGCCCGAGTGAGTGTGCTGGTGGTGAGCGAGCGGCCCCTGGGAGTGGAACTAATTATCGGCATGTCTGGCATCTCTAGCCTGGGGGGTGTCAGTGTGCAGTCACCGTCTCAAGTCCGCTTCTGTGGAGCCGCTGCCCGTGCACCACTCGAAGTTGACGCGCCGGACTTTAGTGTGCGGTTCGACTCGGCAGAGCGAAAGTGGACTGTGGCTTGGAAGTGGGCGGACAACTCTGGCCCTGAGTGCCTGGAAAACTCTGTGCCCCAGTACTCCGTGCCACGGTCCGCCCGCTACGAATTTGACACGGAGCTGGACACATGGATCAGCAACGGCTGGCTGCTGCCATACGACGAGCAGCGGCTCGGCCCGCCGCGAGGGCTCGTACCGCTGATGGCTGTACAACAGAAGAATAAGGAGAAAGTGAGGCCGGTGCTGGACTATCGGGAGTTAAACAGCCACCTAAACGCCCACACCGCTGAAGCAGATGTCTGCGCCGATCAGCTGAGGAAGTGGCGGCGTCACGGCAGAAACGTGGCGGTCGTTGACCTCAAAAAGGCGTACCTTCAGATCCATCTCGACGAAAGTCTATGGCCGTATCAAACGGTTGAGATTCGTGGCCAGCGCTTCTATCTGGGGAGGCTAGGATTTGGACTCAGCCTAGGGCCGCTAGTCATGAAGGCGGTCGTCAGTGCTGTGCTGGCACAGGACCCTGAAATCCAGCGTGCAGTGCTCTCATATGTGGATGACTTGCTGGTAGATGAGGACATTGCGAGCGCGGAGCGGGTTGTCAGTCATTTCGCCAGGTATGGACTCGAGTGCAAGGCCCCTGAGCGTGTGTCTGATGGTGCGCGGCTGCTCGGACTGCGAGTTCGCCCACTGCGTGACGAGCTGCACTGGGAGCGAGACAACCCTGTCGGCCCCCCGCCCAGCCCGCTGACCCGCCGCAGCGTGTTTGCTTGGTGCGGTCGCCTGGTGGCCCACCTCCCGGTCTGTGGGTGGCTGCGTCCCGCTACAGCCTGGCTCAAACGCCGTGCTAATGCTGTGACACGCGGCTGGGACGACATGACAGCGGACCGTACGCTGCAGGCGCAGGTCGATCATGTGGCTGAACGAGTGAACAGTGACGATCCGGCGCACGGCGTGTGGTGTGTCTCAGGTGACGCGGCCGTGGTGTGGACGGATGCCAGCTCGCTGGCCGCAGGCGTTGTTTTGGAGACCGCAGACGGTGGCCCTGTGGAGGATGCCTGCTGGCTGAGGCGTGAAGCTGCTGCTTCTACCCACATAAACATGGCTGAACTGGATGCTGCTGTGAAGGGTATCAACCTAGCCATCGCATGGGGGATGAGAACTGTTGAACTGCGAACTGACTCTGCCACAGTCCATCGATGGATTGACGACGCTCTGAGTGGGCGAGCCCGGCTCCGCACTAAGGCACACGGCGAGATGTTAATCCGGCGGCGTGTCGACCTTATTCGCCAGCTGGTGGAAGAAATGGGTCTCGTGCTGACAGTGACCCTGGTCAGGTCAGACGAAAATCGCGCAGACGCCCTGACACGGGTTCCGAAAGAGTGGCTGAGGCATGACGCATCAGGGCCCGCGGCAGTCGGCACGGCGGTGGCCGCCGACACGGGAGCGGCAGTCGGCACGGCGGTGGCCGCCGACACGGGAGAGGCAGTCGGCACGGCGGTGGCCGCCGACACGGGAGCGGCAGTCGGCACGGCGGTGGCCGCCGACACGGAAGCGGCAGTCGGCACGGCTGTGGCCGCCGACACGGGTGCGACCGCGGTGGTCGGCGCGGCGGTGGCCGCCGGCACAGAAGCGGCGGTGGCGACCGGGGCAACAGTAGACGCCTCTATTGCTGAGCTGCACGAGCGCGCCGGTCACCCAGGGATTCGCCGCACCTGGTATTTCGCCCGTCGTGACATCGCTCCTACCATTACTCGGTCTCAGGTGCGTGCTGTTGTGCATCACTGTGATGTCTGCCGCTCAATCGATCCGGCACCGGTCACCTGGCGTCACGGATCGCTGGAGGTAACGGAGACGTGGCAGCGGCTGGCCATCGACGTCACCCACTACCAGCACCAGTCGTACCTGACAGTGATCGATTGCGGTCCGTCTCGTTTCGGTTTGTGGCGGCAGTTGCGTCGGCCGGACGCGGAAAATGTTGTGTCGCATCTGGAAGCGATATTATGCGAACGTGGAGCGCCATGCGAGATTCTATGTGATAATGACACTGTGTTTCGTGGACGACATTTTGCGGCGTTCGCGGCGAAATGGGGCGTGGTTTTGCGGTTCCGAGCAGCATACGAGCCGGGCGGTAACGGTATTGTTGAACGGCATCACCGGACAGTTAAGGTTATTGCCGCTCGAAAGCAATGCTCAATCCCAGAGGCCGTGCATCTTTACAATGTGTCGCCCCGCGACAGCGACAGCGCCAGTGATGCCCCCGTCGGTCGGATTTATCGCTATACAGTGCGCGACTGTGTCGGGTCAGCTGGTCGCCAGCTGCCGGTCGGTGACAGTGACGGTCAAGGGCGCAGCCAGGGAACGGACGGCCGTGGGAATGGCCGCGAGGGATCGGACGGCTCGGAGCCGGCGGCGCCGCGCGGGACGGGCGAGTTCGTCCCTGGTGACGCTGTGTGGGTCAGGCGCCGTGGCACGCGATGCACGGACGTGTCTGAACCTGGTGTCGTGTCCTCAGTAGTTTCTCCACAGGTAGTAGTAGTTGATGGCACCCCTCATCATGTTAGAAACATTCGACATCGCAACGTGAGCGATAACTGTTTGGTTGACGACACAGAGGGTGCCGAAAATGAGCTGCCACTTTTCGTATCCGCGCAGCCACATAATGCTGATTCTAGTCCTGGCCCCGTAGTGAGTGTCATGTCTGATGTCACGCCTCGCACTGAATGCACTCGTGCTAATGATGCTTCCAATGACGATGGACCAGGAGTCGTTGCACCACGAACCCTGCGGCGCACCGAGCGGGAGAGTCGCCCGGCACAGCGCTATGGAACACCGGTGTATTATTAGGTACTCGCCTTGTTATGTTGTGTCATGTTATGTGTATTTTTGTGTTGATTATGGATTTGTGATCTTGTAGATCAGGGGGGTGTGTAACTGTATCGGTCTGGCCCGGACCCGGGCTGGGTGGACGGGGCTGGGGTCGGACTCGGCCGACGCGGGCCCATGTGCCGGCCATGTGTCTCCCCGGCGGCGACACGCGGTGGACGGGAGCCGCGGGCCGCGGCAGTGTGAGGTCGGCGATAGCCCGTGGTGGGTGAGCGACCGTGTGGAATACATACACTACACCTTCATTTACGAACTACATAACAGATGAGGAAACGGCAGGTAGCTGCACACATCCCATGACAAACTGATACCCAGCCACAGCTATGACCAGTGTGACTCAGACCGGTAGGCAGAGTAAACGTCAACAACAAACATCAACACAGCCGGTCTCCCCACGGAGATAGGGGTCCCTCCCGGATCTGGGCGGCCGTGACGTCACCCGGCACCTGACGGTCACCACCGGTGACGGCGCGTCACGGGAGCAGCAGCCGTCACGGCTGTCACGGGACAGAAGGTCGGCGAGTGACGGACGGGGGAGAGAGAAAACGGCGAGCTCACTGCCTGTTACTGGGCCCAAAGTTGATCGCACTTAGCACATAGGCACAGAATCTGACGTCAGAAAAGCGACTACAATGATTTGAAAATTATAGCTCGACTAACCTAGAAAACTTGCTTGATAAAAGACAAGTAAAGGATGAGGTGCCGTTGTGAGAATCGCATGTCACGTCTTTTTCCCTTTGCACGCTGGTCACCTGATCCACCCCTGTTTTACGGCCCGCGTTAGGCAACACGGTACCCTCGCACAATCAAAGACCCAAACCACGATCCCATCCCAAACCGCAGTCCCATCATCCCAATCATTGTGTCATCGCCGCTGTCGCGTCACACACGCGCACAAGGCCGGGCGTGGCAGTCAGTTGGCTGTCAGGGGTGAGGGGCTGACGGTCGGCCGGCGCTGACAGCTCCCCCGTCACATGTGACGTACGCACAGTGGACTAGGGGCCGTGACGGCTGTCACAAGATCCGTAACACGGGAGCGGAGCGATAGACTATACACGTGGGGATCGGACTGCGGGGGCGGCTGGGACAGAGAGGCTGGCCATATAGCCTGACTAGGGAACGGGGATGGGGCGCTACGCACAGCGGCACTATGCCTCTACTGCCGAGGCCTACTAAGCCCGGGTACAGCTATGTGCCAGTGCAGAACCAAGACTCAAAGATCACAGTCTTCCCGTGTTGGTCTTCCCTTTTAGGCGCCTACCCCCTCCCGACTTGCGCCAAGCTTGAGGTCTCTGGGCTCGCTCCTTCGCATCCCACTGCGCTCCTCCTCTCCTCCCCACCTTGTTTCCCTCCCACTCTAACCCGCTCCCCCACCCCTCCGGCCCGTTACTGACCAGCAGCTGCTCCTGGAGCCGCTCTCCCCTCCCATTCCCCTCCCTTTCCCCGTCACTGACCAGCAGCTGCTCCTGGAGCCGCTCGTTCTTCTCGGTGGCCGTGCGCCGCTCGTTGACCGGGTCCTCGAAGCTGCCGTCGTCCTCGTTGCCCAGGTCGCGGCTGATGTCGCCGTTGGCCAGCTCATCGTTCTCGTCCTCGTCGTGGTCGTTGACGTGGTGGTGGTTGGGCGTGCTGGCGGCCAGCAGGGCCTCGGCGGCCTCCTGCTGCTTCTTGCGCGCCTCCTCGACCTCCTGCTGGAGGCGGCGCGTCTCCTCGTCCTTGGACTGCACCTCGGCCGAGATGGTCTGCACCTCCTCCTGCTTGAGCCGGATCTCCTCCTCCAGCTTGGCCTTCTCGGCCGCCTCCATCTCCTTGGCCTCCTCCAGGCGCACCATCATCGCCTGCAGAACAAGGAGGAACAGTCAGTCAGACGGTAAAGCGACAATAATGCGTGAAACACAATGAAAGGACACCAGATGGAACGGCAACTAGGAACGTCCATCACAGGCGCACACCAAAACCTGACAGCACTGCCACGAATGAAGTGAGTTAAATAACTGGATACCTATCTGAATGAGTGTTTGTCATAAAATCACTAGGCGGATAGTGATATCCTGGTTGGTCATTATCAACTCAACCCTCAAACGGACCTGCATTCATAATTATTTCTCCTTCCCCTCCCGACATCCCCACATTTCCTTCGCACCTGCAGCTCGTTCTGCTTGCTCTCGAGCTGGTCCTTGGCGGCCTGCAGGGCGCGCAGCTGCTCCTCCAGGCGGCGGATCGTCTCCTGAGCGTCCTGCAGCTCCTGCTGCCGGTGCTGCATCTCCTCCTGCATGCTCTTCAGACGGTCCTCGTACTGGCGCTGCTTGCGCTCGGCTTCCTCGCGGGCGGCGATCTCGCGCTGCAGCTTCTGGCGCTCCGTCTGGCGGGCCTGCTTCTCCTCCTTGGCCTGAGCCTTCATCTGCTGCACCTGTGGTGTTGAACGGGCAATGGTCAGCTCCGTCACCATGAAATGGGACAGGGAGGTGGGACGCAGATGGTGAAACTGGTAGCGGGTAACGGCTGAGGATGATAGACCCGAATGCGACCACAATGAATGTACAGTTGAAAGTAAAAGTACAGAAACTAGATCACACAAGCGAGAAACAAACCGCATTTTAGTTTGCAATTTCGAAACGTTCAAACTGGCCACTAAGCTGTCCAACCTAAGCAACCACCGATTCATTCATTGCTTTTTCTTTACCGCCCTCGTCCCGGTCCGTAATTTCCCCAATTCTGACCGCCTAGCGGCGCCACCGTCGCGGCGGGCGGGTCTCACCTCAATGGTGTCCGGCTTGCGGCGGCGCATGTACAGCTCGTGGTTGCCCATGCACAGAGCCAGGATGCGCTTGTTGATGCGCAGACGGGGGGCGAAGAAGATGAAGTCGGGCGACTTCTTGTCGATCGGCTTGATGGTGAACTTGCGGTCGTTGAAGCTGATGTTACGGATCTCCGACCACGGGAAGCCGATCTTGGGCGTCAGCTTGTCCTCCTTCTCGTAGATGTTGAGTCCGAGGGCGTCAACACCGAGCCAGAGGTCGGTGCCCTTCTTGTTCTTGATGTCGAAGTAGTTGACTCCGTACATCTCCAGGTCCTGTCCGAGCTTGAGGTACTCCATCATGGCGTCCTCTCGGAGCATGCCGCGGTGCTCCTTGTACCAGTTGGTGATGCGGTCCTCCCACTCCTCGCGGGTCAGCTTGTGCTGGTCCATCACTCTGTGGACACGGACGCCACGGTCAGTCATGGCGCAGTAGGCGGACAGGTCAGGGAAGGAAACCGTTCCGTTTGCCTGCGTTAGGGAGCGATACTCCCTCGGTCAGTTACGGCACTCGGCTGGAACAATCAGGGAGTTGAGGAATCATAACAGGGCGCGACACGACCATCATAATTCAGCTTAGAAACGCCGCCTTGCAGGGGTACCAAAAGGGCTTATTCAATAATACAGTCTATAATTAACCTGTCGTGGCTATCATTATCACATCGGTTGCCACCAACCGATAGGTGATGATTGGTCTACCGAGAAATGATCCAACACTTCAGTTCACACCCTCGCCTGTGCCCCACGACACTCGGCACGGGTGTACCGTATGCTCCTCTAATCGAACACCGCTAACCCGGCCAGTGCCCTCTGAACCCGCTCTGCGCCGGTAATACACAAACATAAGCACACAAACAGAGCTGACCGCTGCAGCTGCTCGTTATCAGCCGGTGATTTACGGCCCGGTGCACTTGCAGCACGTTCGCTCTGATTACACAGCCGTTAGGGGCGGAGTGACGCCGAGACGGTTGTCCCATCCCTCGGCGGGACACGGCACACGGGGGCCGAGGGAGGCGTATGGGCTGACAGACGTGTTAGGGGAGGCGCGGACCGCCGGCATGCCGAGGACGCCACTTCAAACGGCGGGCCGGGTTACTCAGGACGCACTGCCGCACGCACCAGCGCAGGAAAACAGCAGATGCCGACACAAAACGCCGTGTTCAAAATCGAACTACCACTCGTGAAAAACGGCACAAGCAGGCCAAACGCATTAGCACTCATGAGATACGTTAGTGTTAATGACGATCAAACTGAGTGAAAACACAGCACAGCGTCAGTCCGCAGCTGGACCCTGTATCAAATCAGACAACTACGGCCCCCGGTCAGTGGAGCGGGGGCGAGGTCAGGTCAGGTCATGCACCCCGTCACCTGCAGGAGAGCAGCCGCTCACGCTCCCACGACGGCAGGTCGGGCGGATCGGCGCTGAAAGTTGACAGACAGGCCGCTAGAGAGAGGCGCATACATCCAGCACACTTACAGACACAAATACATACACGGAAAGTATACGGAAATACAATTTACACAGCGACAGAGGCTGCTCTGAACATGTAGAACGTATACCAAGGACAGCGCAATGGCAGCAGTGCATCAGAAAACTGGATAACAGCAAGGTGCCATTACAAAAATAGGCTGGCATCCGAACTCCGCGCGCAGACCTTCCTGTCCATGACGGGGACAGTGTCCGACCATCCGGTAGAGACAGCTACAGTTGATGTATTTTTAGAGCCGGACCGAAACGGTCTGATTAGTGAAAACGGAACTGAATAGAACCGGTCCAAATCGAGATCGACTGGGCCCGAATCAAAATATTGTGAATGATCGAGAACCACAAAAGGACACTTGCACATATCGTAGTAAAAATTGAACGTTATTTTTACAATTAATTGAACGACATCCTACTCCTGGCGCTGTTTTGGTGTGATTTTATCCTTGAGACTAAATTGATACGGTCACGATAGATACATCCCAGACTTGGACCATTTATTTTATTTCACTGAACTCGTCGGACAATTATATCCGAGCCCAGCCGCAGAACCCGTTCACTTTTTTTTCGGCAATGGACCCAAACCCAGCTCGGTCAAAATCACATCCAATTCATCGCGTTCATATCTAATAACGTTTGCATGTCGGACTGGTACCGACTCGGGCGTCTCCGCAGTTCGCGGACCACCCGACCCCAGTCCACCATACGGCCCAAGGGGCCCAGTCCGCTCCCTCAGTCTCTCTCCCATCGAACGTGCTGTCTGGCCAGCTGGGTGCGGCAGCGAATACCACATATGCAGCACGGAGGGGCGGACACGGACACCGGGCCCCGCTGCTGCTGCCAGATGGCAGCAGCAGCAGCGGCGGTGGCGGTGAAGGAGAGAGGAGGACACGAGTACTGGCGGACCGGGGCAGTCAAGAACACCTCCAGAGTCCAGAAACAACCGACGGCGTGTGGAACAAACAACAAACAGGTTAACAGACAAATATGCAAACACAAATAAACCACAGCATGTGAGCCAGCGCCGCATGTTGTAACCATCACCATAAGGAGAGCGATGGTCTGGAATTGGTCTAAACGAGTGCCTCCGATGTCAATGGACAAATCAGTCTGCAAGTGCATAGTCATTCCGTACACTATGCCCAGATGTCACAGACAAAATCGGGAGCGGCTTACTTATGTAACCGTCGTTTGCAATGCGGATCGCCCGGCCTGTCCTCAGATATTCATGAGGGAACTATCGCCTGGCGGTGCGCCAGGGACAGGTTAGGGTCATGGACCGTTCGGGGCCCGGCTCAATCGGGGCGGGGTCTGGGTCGCTTTACCAGCCGCGCCCCTAGGTAAACCCACGCCCAGCCTGTGGGAGATAGTCCGGGGTAGCCCAGGTGGACTGATCTGGGTGGATAAAAGGACTGAGCTGATGGCTGAGCCGGGATCGGACAGGCGAGGCTGGACCGGTGGTATGTCGGGATGTGGATGGGGCTGTGTCGGAATGTGAGCGGGACTGAGCTTGGCTGAGGGGCGGGGTCGGGGCGGGGTCGTTCGCACCTCTGTGGCAGCAGCCGGTCGTTGGAGAGGAAGCCCTTCTCGTGTTGTTCGTCCTGGTAGTCGCCATATTTGGCCTGGACGGCGTACGAGGCGAGCAGGACGGACGTCTCCGGTGGACAGTACACCTCGTCCGACAGGATGGCGTTCTTCACCTGCAGGTAGAACAGCTTCTGCGGGCCACAGGGGGAGCGGCGGGGCGTCAGAGGACACACCGTGACCTGACGGGCGAGCAGGCGCCAGCTCAAATCAATCAATGCTGGGGTAATCAATTGACCTATTTACGTCATCACTAGCGCTTCCGCCTGAAGAAGCCATAAACGCAGGAGAACATTATTGGCCTCGCTATCGGCGACTTCCCGAGACGTTCGGCTCGACGGCTATCATATCTACAGGTGATCCATACGTCCTCCGATAGCTCCGCCTATGGCGTATCTGCTAATCCATTTATACCGGCTATCGGGCCGGGTGGGACCGATTACCACTCAAGATACGGGGTTAAAGCCCAAGGACAGGGTGTGAGGAGGCCGCGGCACGGCTCGGCCGCACTGGACATACGTTAGGTCACCGCCCGTGACTCACGGGTGTCACGGGGATCCACCCACTGACCGCCCTCGGCACTGAAGGGGGGGGGGGGGGAGGTGGCTCACAGGATCAGCCGCTGAGCCCCGCCCTCAGGACTCCCGGAACCTACAAATCCCGTTTGTGAAGTGACAAATCCCGTCAGCCATGATAGCTCGGAGCTTCGCCGCGACAACGGCAGTGACAGTATGGAAGTTTCCTCAGTGGCGGCAGTAGGCTCACAGCACAGTAGGAAATGTTGCAACCGATAGCAAGTTGCATTCTTATCATCTCTGCTAAGATATCCTGTTCATGACGAGAGTCGTGAGCGTGACATATTTATTGCATGTATGATGAGAAATAGGAAAAGCTGTTTAACAATCTCGCTAGCTGGCGGCACTATCGTGGCCGAAGATATCATTCCAGCCATCCCGGTACTGGTAACTTACGAGAGTGATGTCCTGGATGATCTCCTCAGCGACATCCTCCGGGTAGAATTTGGCGCGGAACTTGAACTGCAGCGGCGCCTCCTTCTTGATGTCTTGGCTGGTGACCTGCGTCAGACAGAGACACGGTTAACGGAGGATATACGGTTACTCGCTACACAGGAAGACACAGTCACCGGCCGCTGAACATTTGTTCAATCCCTGCGCACGGAGACGGGGTCACAGAAGATACTCACTAGAAGACGACACACCTGAGAACACCAACAGTGTCGCACCTACAGATCATTGCTCTTATGACTATTCTTCTGAACAAAAGGTAAATGAAACGTGTACCAGCAAACTGTGGCAACATTGGAGTACTCAGCCTATCATTTGGTAAACATAAAGGCGCCAGTTGCTCGGAAAATGTAACATCAAACATTTGCACATTTGACTTTTGCAAGTTCTGTCCCAGTACAAAAACAGTAGCCTTCGACGCGAGACAGACTTCATCAATATCAGCTCCGCCGGAGCGTGACACGACAAAACAGGCCGACTTGCATCCCACACCAGCGCTAAACAAAAACCAAAACACCATCGCAAGTCTGCCAGCGTGATCGGCGCCACCCCGCCACCCCTTTCTTTCCCTTCACCCACTCTGTTATCGACAATGTGATTCAGCGTCGGTGGACAGTCTCGGCGCCGTACAGTCTCGATAACCCGCCGACGATCCGGGTCACGTACGAAACCCGGTCGCCCGCCCCTGTGGCACTGGCAAGACCGATTGACATTCCTCGGCGAGCGCACCTAATTTTCAACGGCGGCGTCTTCCATTACCTGCCATCTATCTATCAGCGCTGCACCGAGCTTCGGCCAGCATACGATAGGTCAGCCCGCAGAGAGAATCACTGCACGACGGTGGAGAACGCTGCACCTGACCAGACCAGGGCGGTTCGTACTCGGGCGCCGTATGTGCCGCGTACCCATCCACCTAATACTGCTCCGATCAGCGTGATAAACGGCCGTACCAAACAGTGGAAGCGGGCTGACGGTCTTTGCAGCTCATCGGCCGCTAACAGCAGTCACGGATGACCCCGCGCGACACGACTCACGACCTGGTCACCGTGACCCATGAGTCACGAAGTCGCCGATCCCGTCCCGTGATCCGCCGTGATACCGCCGCCCCTCTGACGTCATCATCGACTGAGTGACGTCACCGGGTGATGTCAGCGTCACGCTCTCGGGAGCCTTCCTGCCGGCGTGGCGCAGTGAGTCAGCCGCGGCCGGCGCCGGGCCGGTCCGGTCGGCGGTCCCAGCTGAGCGCGGCGCCGAACCGGGCCGGCCGTGCTGTCCGCGCAAACAGACACGGTCCGAGCGCAAACAGTCCCGGCTCCTGGCGGCCCGCAGGCCCGCCCGGCGGCAGGGGCGGCGGCGGCGACCGGTCGCTGCGCGCTGACGCAACGGCCGCGAGAGTCGCAGCGCCGCGCCGGCAGTCATCGCCACGCCGCCACCGGCCGGCCCTGGCGGCCGCGTGCCGAACGTTATTAGTCGTATCAGGTTCGTCTTGCGCCGGCGGCGCGGCCGGCGAGCTAACCGGCTCGGAGATGGAGGCCAGAGGCCGGTCGCGTTGCCAGCCGGTCGTCGGCTCGGCTCGACGTGTCCCTCAGAGACGGTTATCGCCATCCGGACTGGACGGCCGTTGCCACGTGTCGCCTGTTTTGCATTGCACGTCCGATACAGCTGATGGGTGCTGTCCAGAGCCCCAGCAGAGGCGCCGGGCGCGTGCACCAGCTAGCGGGGCAGGCGCCGGGCCGGCGGACTGGAGGGGCGACGGCTGTCAGCCCGGCTCGCGACAAACCCACCACGAGCGGGCGGAAGCGGCCGGTCAGCAGCCCACGGCGCGCAGAGGCGTTACCAGCACGCCGTCGCTGCACCATGGAGTGGCGAACGAGCCGGAAGCCAGGCTCGGCTCGGCACGACTCCGCGGACGCAACCGCAGAGGAAGGCAAAAAAAACCGCTGCCGCTACCACCAATGGGCCGGCCATGTAGACACAGGCAGTGGAGAGAGACAACATCAGAGAGAACAGTTATTCACGCGGCTGGGATGTTGGCTGGCCGAGGGGCGACACGAGGGCTGAGGATATCTGGGCTGAGCTACCCCAGCTCGGAAAGCAGCCCGGTCCACCGGCACGGCGGGCGGGCGCGGCCGGCACGGAGGTGGGTCGCCGGCTGGCGCGCGCGCTGCCAGCCGCCTCTGGACGCCGCGCAGAAGATGTATGACAAATGGCATGCGACAGGTGGCCAACACTGCCGTCTGCTTATGGGCGTACTGGCAGCCCAGGTCGCCCGGCCGCAGAGGCATATGGTCGCGTCCAAACCGCTCATGGGCGGGACACGGCTCGTTTTGAAAAGGGCCAACCTCAGTGGGCTCATCACCATAACCCGTTTTTCTCCGGTCATCCGGGCCGGCCGGCGGACTCCGCTCGTCAGCTCGTTTTCACTGCGAGACGGTCGGTGCCAGCGACGCTGACCGCGTGGCGGCGGTGCTACCTATTGCCCACCGGTGTTCCCACGTGAGCCATTCGAGGCCGGTGAGTGTGCGCGGCGCTGCGTTGGTCGCCGCCCGAGGGGAGGACGCGTCTCACGCACACGCAAACACCACCGGCAGTCGGGAGACACGACAGCCAGCCATTAGTGGCGCTCCGCCTGCGGATCGGGCCGAGTCAGCGGGTGACCGACACGGGGGCAGACACGGCGCCACCAGCAGCGGCGACGATCACCTGATCGATCGTCGACAATCAGACATCCGTCCGGGCCGCCTCGGGAGGGCGGCGCCGTCCGTGCCACCGGTCACCATGGCCCAACGGCAAGCCGCGCACGGCAAGCCGCGCACGGCAAGCCGCGCACGGCAACAGGGGAATGACACCAGATCCCCATCGATATGGACAAAAGTTGCTCCCCGTGGGTAACAACTCTCCATGATTGTGCAAACCCCAGCGAGAGGTGTCCGCGGTCAGAGGACGGGCGTGGTCGCGATTTCAAAACCGTCCGGAGACATGGGCCATAGCTGTGAACCGGCCCGGAATATCGCCCCAGACCGCCCCCGGTCCAGGTGGGAGCGGCTCCCGGGAGTAACTATCACACCGCTCTGGCTGCCCGCCAGCGTCCGCCGGTGAAGGGTTGGACGGGATCGGTCTCACGGCGCCGGCCGCCGAGAACCACTCTCGGTCACCGTGACGCGCTGGTTTCCGTGGGAGGCAAGCCACGCTCGCTCTCAGAGAAACCTACCGCGACTGAGCGCACGGCGGCACGGTGCCAGACTGACAGCGACACGGACTAACACCCGGCGAGCCAGTATCATTTGATTGGCCGTCGCAGCCCTACAGCTATCCCCAGCCACAGTGGTGTCTCTAGGCTAGAGGTCCACTGGCGTCCGGAACAAACAGCAGATGGGGATCGGCGGCACTACACGAGCGTAGTACGAAACCCATCGCCACCGCAGGAGAAACGGCCATGCGCCGGCGTCGGTCACCGACCCCGATAGCCATCCACGCAGCGCGGCGCGGTGGCCGGTGCGTGGCGGCCAGGGGCGCCGGCTGCGTGACGGGAGAGACAGTCAGTCAGTCGGTCAGGTGGGCCACCAGCGCGTCAGGTGAGCCACCAGGCGTCAGGTGAGCCATCAGCGCCATCGGGCGTCCAGCGGCGGCGCGCGCAAACAGCGCCGTGACGGCGCCTAATTCGGCCGCGCTAACGCGTCCCCGATGGCCATTGTTCCGCGCTCCGCCTCGGCCGCCGATAAGATAGTCGGCGTATGACGAGGTGCGAGCGCTCCTGCTCGGGGACGAGGCGCAGCGCCGATACAGGCCGGTTCCGGATCGAGCCGCCACAAATTGCACCGGGACTCGGCTATCTACTCCAGACCCTGGCTCTGAGTATCACACGCTCCGCCGCCAGCCCTCCTGCCCCTCTCACCGGGCGCTGCGGGGAGCGGCCCCGCCCGCGCCACCCACCGGCGCAGGTGGCAGCTCTGACAGACCGCTATCATCGGCGCTGATCCCGGCAGCATCCGGGGAGGCGGCTGCCAAATCTCGCCGCCAATCGCCCTCCCCCGCCCCGCCCTACTCGCTACACCTCCCCGTTCTGCCCGCTAAGCCTCCCCGCCCCAACCAACCTTCTTGTTGAGCTTGAGCCAGGTGATGTAGCCCTTGCTGTCGGTGTACTGAAGGCCGAAGAACCAGATTTCTCGCAGGCCGATGGTCTTGACGACCTGGTCGAAGAGCTGTTTGCCGGTGGTGCTCTGCTGGATGGCAAACTCCAGCTCGGCATCCATCGTCGTCACGCGTATATTCACCTGCGGACGAACCAGGTCCGGTCAGGTCAGGGCACAACAAACAGCAGTAAATACGCACAAACTCAAAGTGCACACTAATGGCAAAGCTCAATGGTACACTCATCATAATTATCGCATCAATGACAGTTAGCCTCTAACGAAGGGTACAAAAACGAGCAACAGCGCGTAACGAGCCGGCATGGATGGAATTCCTGCGGTGAAACTGCGATTATCTGTTGATCGCCGGGTACCATCACGGGAAGCGGCGGGAGGGGGAGGGCCGGCAGGGGAGGGCGTGCACCGCCCACGTGCCGGTGACATCACGGTGACCAGCCTCGGACGGTGGCATCCCGAGGAACCGGTCCCTCGTGACGCCGTGGGTGTGCGGCCGAGGAGGCGAGGGCAGACCGGCCCCGAGGCCCCACAGCGACACAGACTGTGTTTTGTTCGTCTGTCCTTCGCATGAGCTCAGCTGATGTTAGCCAATGCGAATGGCAGCAAAAACGCTCATCAATCTACAACGCGCCTCCCTCTCTCCCTCCCTCTCGTTCTCTCTCCTCGGGCTCAGCTGATCGAACGAAAGGATGTTAGCGCAGGTTCACAAGGCCCTTAGACAGGATTTAGCTAGTTAACACTGACCAAGTACTCGCATGCACAAGTGTTTAATGGAAGTGTTTGCATTGCACAAGACAGTCTAGATTCTAGACTCTTGAAAGAGCAACGGATCTGCCTACTATGACCTATGACCGCAACAACTCACCCTATTCAGACGCAGAAGAGCCATCATGGTTTAGCATTGTCGGTGGGCGGATTGCGAACACCAAACTAGGTGCAAATGACAATGTACATTTGCAAAACCGCTACAACCATAAATGCCAGTAACGGTAGAACTCCATTAACATCTCATCAGTGAATGTCCATCTTGTCTGCAATTTGTGGCCAGCAGCCGTGTCACCTCTGGGAATGTGTTCGCAGTTGGACGTTTCCTCGTTCGATGGCACGCCTGGCGACTCCGTCCATGAGTACATCTTTCTCTCCAGGCCCTTTTAGAGCCGCCATAAGCCCTGCATCCCCAGCATCATCCGACCGAGCAGCAGCTACCGACTGGGAGCGCCCGCATGACGTGACGTCACCACCGGGAGTGCCGCTCACGTGACCTGACGTCACACGTCACTGGCCGTCAGCCGGCGCCCACCCCTTCCCCAGCCGGCCGGCCGCCCCGGCCGCGGGCCACTCCAACGAAAACAAACCGGCCCCCCACGACCGGTCTGCCATTCAACATCCGGTCGGAGAGGTGCGTCGGACGAGGTGCGTCAAACGGCTGCCTTTTTCGATTGGTTGGAGGGATCGCTGCTCTCATACGGGATGAGGCTGGAGCGGGACGTGTCCTCAGCCGAGATAGAAATCTCAGCTACAGCAGCCCCGGCGGCAGCGGAGCGCGGAGGCCGTACGGACGGGTCCCGCTGCGCCGCCAAGGTCACCAGTCCGACCTAGCGGTCACCGGGGGTCATGATGTGACGTCAGACCCGCCGCGGGTCGGCACGGGCGCGCAACAGACAGCTGGCGGCCGGGTCCGGCGGCTCGGCAGGGACCGGAGGCGCAACTGACGGCCGGGGGACCGCCCGACGGCCGCCCATCTGCCCGGCGCGCCCTGTCGGCCAACCGGTCCGGCCGGCCCGTCAGCTCGGCCACCGCGCGTCCGTCCGGAGCGTCAGACGGAGCTGGGCAGACACGGCCGGCGGCGCGGGGACCGTGCTGCCGCGGCGGCCGTCTGCCGCCAGCCGGCGGGCGGAGCACGGCCGACCGGGCCGGACGTAGCCACAATCCGGCACGGTCCGAGCTGCCGCTGTGGCGGCGGCGGAGCGTGGCACGCCGCCGGTTCGCCGGCACATTCCGGCGCTCCGGCGCGGCGTGCAGGCGCGGTGAGCCAGCCTCCACCGGACCACCGTCCGAGGGGCCCACCGCCCACGCACGTCTCTGCACACAGGCAGACAGACAGACATACACACACGGCCGAGCTTGGGACAAATCAGCTGCCAGCGCCGGACACACCGCGACAAACTGACTAGTGTTTGCGGGACAACAGCGTCGAGTGCGACACGCAACAGGCTTTCGCCGAAGGAAACAGTGGCCGCCCTCTTCAGCCTGCGCTCCTACACACATCCTGGCGTCGGCGGAGGTCCTCCATTCGCGACGACCGCCTCTCCTGGCGGCGTCGCAAGTGTGTTTGCGCAGGGATTTCAAATTTCTCCTTGCGCTGCGCGGCCTCGTCCGACGCGACCATCCGGTGAAAGGACGGAAGCGGCCGTGGGCGGCCAGATACGGGCCGCGACGGGCGGCGGTCAGCGGCCGACTGGGACGGCACTGGACAGACGGACGGACGGGCGGGGCGCTGACCGGCACCGAGCGATACGGACCCGAGGGAGGGCGGCCCACATCGGGGGAACGGGAACGACGAAGGCAGGCATGCCCCGTCATAGGCTCAACAGGATTTGAATATGCATTATGCGAGAAGGCAAGAAGAACTATGCCGCTTCGGAAGAATCGCACGTAATCGTGAAAGGGAGCTTGGCGGTCAAGCTGCAGCAATGCAGTGAAGCAGGAGCTACCGTTGCCGAAACAAAACGCCTTCCGCTTAATTTGATGGCGGCCGATTTGTTCACTTGTCAATGATTTGCAGGCTCACAAGACAACTTAGTCGCATGAGTTGTGTGCTTCTTCGCCCCAAATATGGAAGTGAGGAGCAATTTTCCTCACGAACACGAGCCGAGTCGGCACACTACCGGAGTTTTCTGTTGTATTGTGGGTTCGGCCAGCCCATTCATCCTTATCCAGCCAGTCTCCACTTGACGCATCCCTCAAATTGTCATGAGCTCCCTTCAGTTCCTTCCTTGCCGCCGCCGGGTCTGTGTCATCGCCGTGGGACACACTGTCCAGCCGTTACGGCGCTCCTCCCACGGCCATTTCCGGTCCTGTCCGGCCAGACCGCACCGCGTCATCAGCGCCGGCCGGCGACCTTCAGCGGGGCCGACTGCCGTCATCACTGAGGCGTCATCGGGGTGAGGAGCGGCCCAGTCACGGCGGCGCCTGGCACGGCGCGGCGCGGTGCTCGTGAGGACGGCAGACGAGCCGCGGTGCCCGGACCTCCGCGCGGGTGTGGTGAGCCACAGTGAGCGTCAGCTGCCGTCTCGGCCGTCCGCCGTGTGCTGGTATCCCGGCTGTCGGCTGGCTGATGACGCGCCGCGCCTAACTGACGCCGCGCCGCGGCCCGGAGCCGGTGCGTGTGCGCGGTGGAGCGTGTGCGCCGTACGCAGGCTGGCGGCGGTGACAGCAGGCAGACGCCGCTGACGGCTAGTCACGGCCGGCCGGTGGTCGCCGAGAGTCGTGAGCTGAGTCACTCCAGATGCTGAGAGGGCCGCCCTTAGGGAACACTCGGCCACCGTAATGATGCAGGAAGCCACCATGAGGCCCCAAATACTACGAGCATAGTGTAAAGGACATCGGATAAATTTAAGAAAAAATAAAAATTACAACCCTGTGTTGTGTCATTAGGAGACCATGTATCCCATGAAATCTCACTTGCGAAGCATCATCAGCCATCAGGCAGTGAGTGGTACGGTTTTGTATGGAGGGACCGGCGCGGTGCGTGCGTAGCGGAGCGGTAAGAGGCAGCTCCCACCACACACCGCCCCGATCGTACCGTATCGTATCTGCGCGTCTGTGCGGTGCGGTGCGGGCCGGGGGCGGGGGCGCCGCCACACGCGTCGCTCGTCCGGTGCTATCGGCGCCGTGTCGGGCCGGGTCGCGCGTGACGCCTATCTGGCTGCGGAGACGGAGGGACGGCGCCGGCTCCAGGTCCCGCCCCTGTCGCCGTATCCGGCCGCGCCGGCGACCGTTCACGCTCCGCCGGCCGCACCAATCGAACGCCGCCCCACTGACGGACAGGAGCCGAGCGTTTCCGGCCCGTGAGAACGCCGAACCGCGCCGAAACCAATTCAAACGTCTCATTGCGCCACTGCCGCCGTACTAACTGCTATCTGAAGAAGACGCTTTATTCAGTGCGTAGTTCGTTGGACATAATAGAAAAGCCATTTGTTCAAATAACTGAGTGCAGAACGACGGAACAAAAACACAGAACGACCTGTTAGAGGCAGATGGGACTAGATCTCCCCTCCGTCCAATACGGCGCTCCGGTCGTGCAGAATGGCATGACCCTGCCCCCGGACCATACCCAGCAATCTCGCCCTGTACTGAAATTCATTACGGTCAGCCGACCGTCGCCCTGGATGGCCGGACAGGCCCCGTAACGGTACCGGCCCCGGGCCAAGGACGGCGCTGAGGGGCGGTGATGGTTGGTCACGTCACCGGACCGGACCAGCCCACCCACAGCATCAGAGCGAGCCGCCGAACATCAGAAGCGCCGCGCCGCGCCGTCTGGACTAGCCTGTGTGTGTCACTCTTCTCAGAGACTACTCTATCTGACCGAGTCAACAGCGAGTGGCCCGGTATCGCTGCAGTGCAGAGCCCACCTGCAGGCTCCCATCCCTTCTGATTCAGTCACCGCGGCCCATACGCCCCCGCAGCAGTGTTCGCCACGGGCCCCAAAATCCCCAGCCCAGCCCGGCCCGGGCCCATGGGTTCAGAGCCCGGCCCAGCCCGTAGCCCACTCTTGGCAAATATTCCAAGCCCAGCCCGGCCCGGCCCGTCAAAAATAGCAATCTAGTTATTGTCTTAGTCTATTGCTATAATAAGCATGATTGATTACACTATTTTGAGAACAATTCAAACTGCATGAATATTAACATGGCAATCATGACTCCCTTCTTTTCAATGAATATAATCATTTCAAGCACCTATGGCACAAATTTTAACAGTAACAGCAAGCACCTCAGTCAATTAGGTCATGATTACACACCTATAAAAAGTTTACATGATTATATTAACTACATTCTATGAGTAAAGTTATCTTGCAAGCTGATGTGTGTGAACATTATCATTCATAATTGGTGACTCTAATGCATACTTGAAGGAAGTATTTGCAACATACTCTATGCTTCCCAGCACTTACCAGCAGAAAAAAGCTTGACTTATGGGAATTGATGAATCTGTCTGGGATTGACCTTGCTGTTAAATTCACTCCATAGATGCTGCAATATCAAAAGCCTGAGAAAGCATACAAAATAGGTGACACTCACTTTAGCACTGTCTTCCAAAAAAAGAGAAAATCCATCCATTTATCAGCAAAACTGATTTAATCTATTTTCAATTCATGCCCACGTGTCAACCGAATCTCTGTGGACAACTATCTGCTACTTTCCTTGCTATTTTATGTTAGGCTCTTTTCAAGATATGGATATCGCTAGCAGCGTAAGCAGAAAACATGGTAAGCTTGAAATGTCATTGGGTACTTTTGCGACTTTTACGCATCATCATCATCAATCGAAAATGAGCGAACACTTCTCAATTGTCGCAGCTGCGGCAGAAAACGATCCTGACCAACTGTATGATAAACCATATATGATCAAGTTTTTGTTTTGTTTTCGTTCGATTTTTCAGACTTCGTAATTTAGGTTTTATTTTTTATTTGTTTAATTTTGTTTTTCACCTTGATACTTACTTAAAAAACGTATTTATTTGATATACTGTTGACTGTTGTGTATACTACCTAGATGCCGCCACATAAACATAGCGCCGCCGCCATGATTGCAAGTTTTGTTGAGAAGGCGCTGGTTTGTTGTGATTTATTTTTACAAATTTATGGACATTTAAAGAAGCTTTCATCGCGAAATACTCTGTAGAGTTCCTCGTTACGTACAGTGTGTTTTGTGAGTATCCTTTTAAGGTTCTGTTCGTTAAAAAGCCGTCGGTGAAGGAAAAAAGACTGTTGGAATTGTCTCACTATCGCCATATATAAGTGTTAAACTTAATGTAGCCCTGTAGCCCATCATTGTTGAGTGGCTTCTTAGTTTTTGGAGTTTTAGTGCTAAGTAAGTTATTCTGATGACTACATTTTAACTTTTATTAACAAACTAATGATGCTAGAGATTCTCTGATCTTTTTGGTTGCGGAATTTGTATGAAAACCCTCCTATGTGTGACATGATGTGATATTGGATAATTCTCAAGATTCCCAAAATTCAATATCAAGTAGGTTTTCTTTCACATTGCTTAAATTTGGTTTAGTTTTTGTATTTTCCCAGTGGGTTTTGTTTGCATCAGTTTCCAAATTTTCTTAAATTGACATTAGTCGCAAAACCCATAGTGCACAAAGCTCTTGGCCCGGCCCGTCCACAGCCCGTTAACTAATGATATTTGGGGGCCCGGCCCAGCCCGTAGCCCAGCCCGGCCCATGGCCCGTTGGGCTGGCCCGGCCCGTGGCGAACACTGCCCCGCAGTGGCCCGGCCGCTCCTCTAACCGGCCTGGGTCGGAGGCACTGCAGAGTTGGGTGACCACCCTCCCACTGCTGCAGCTCGTCCGTTCCATCAGTCTCCAGCGGACAGCCCGGGTGCAGCTCCGGCGGCGGACCGCGGATCCGCGGCGCCGCCACTGCCCCGGGAACCGGTGCGCACCGCCGACCCTGTGAATGAGTCAGCCGCGCGCGCTGTCGTGACTCAGCCACCATCTGGAGCGCCGCGCCGCGCCGGCACGACCTTGGAAATTCAAAAGACGCGCCGTGCCGCGCCGCGAGGGCCGAGCGGCGGCGCACAGGAAGGGTCTGTCTGCCGGCCACCACCTGCCCCGGTCGGCAAGGCACGGTCGGACCTCAGACCCGTCTTTGTCGTGCCGCCGGCTCCCGGCGATATCCGGTCGTGAGCATCTAAGTACCCGTCCCGAGCCGGCATCCCCAGCACGCTGCCCTGTGGTAATCGTCCCGCCACGCCGCGAGCGGCGGGCCGGCTCGGGTCGGCAGGGCGACAAACTGCTCACTCTGTCCGGCTCATCAGCATGCAGCGGCGGTGCGAGCAGCAGAGCCACCGAGGCCAGGAGCCGGGCCGTGGGTCCGTCTGTGACCGCGGCTCCGCCTCCGGCGGCACTCGGCAGTCGCGGCGACTCAGCGAGAGGAGGGTCCGCAGAGCGAGAGACTGTCGCCATATCCACAGGGAGAGAGGAGACGGGCAGACCGTGAGGCCGTGACCCGCGGCGAGCATTCACACAGCGGCGCCGGAGTGGAAATAGACAGCCGTGCACACGAGTGAAACCGAGCTCACTGACGGAGCGCAGACCTCCACACAACTACCGCCAGATGCCAGAGGCCACATTCACACAACAGAAAGCGTTGGTCATGGGGAACCCAACGCTCACTTTCTCGGCGGTGAAAGATACAGAGTCAATATGAGCTCTGAAGAGAGCAAAAATTTCCCAGATAGTGCAATCGTGTGGGTCTACATGTGAGCCTAACGCATCGTCATCATGCATACGAAACATCGAGCTTTGAGGAGGGAACTGCGATAGTTGAGACAATCATCAGGGTGGATGAGGCTCGAGGAAACTGCACAGCCCGCGGTGGCGGCTGATAGAGCAGAAACAGTGCCGCACAAAGTTCAACGACGTCTCAGGTGGTTTACGTTATCAGAATTATCGGCAACGATTCAAGTAGCAGCAAATGTATATTTGCCACTTGCAGATAAAAAACATTGTAAATGTAACAGTTATCAGTTTTCACGTGATAAAGCAGAGGCAGCTGAGACATTTAAAGCAGAGGCTTTTCAAATACAGTGTAGCTTGCTTAAATCATTGACAGTTTAACTCGGTTACACTATTCTCCATTCTTCACCGACATAATTGACAAGTGTCTTCAAAGATAATTATTTATCAGTCTCATGAAACTCATGAATCACTCTCTAAGCATGTTGACCACCAGCTTAAAAACCGAGGCACGTCTTTAAGAAATCCCGAGGAAAGGTTAGCAAGCATTGTGTTGTGATCACAAGAATCACAACGGATTGCGCCGCTAGTTTATGAGAGTACTATGATTTCCCTTGCAAGAAAAATAAAATGCCTTATAATAACCCATCTCTGCAACTTCGCTGCCAATGCCTCAAGTAGGGCACAATTGTCATTCGAATGTAAGCGTTCAAACCAGAACGTTGTCTTGCAAGGTAGTGAACCGTAAAGCACCTCCTACGACACCCGGGCCGCCGTCCGATGGCGATGATACGTACGTGTTGCACCATGTTGGCGACCTGGCGTCTGCTCTGGCAGACGATGTTGTGACAGGCCGTGGTCTGCTGCCGCACCTCACTCGCTGACTACACGGTCGCTCGCGCACTCGACCGGTTCGCCCGCGCGACAGACGGCACCGCCGAGCTCCGGTGGCGATACTGGCGCGCCGCGATAGTCAGGGCCGGCGCCGCCCGGCCAGGCTCCTCCCCCACCTCCACCTGGCTGTACCCCTTCCAGCGCGGCTGGCCGCGGCAGGCGCCGCCCCTCCACCTGCCGGACGGCCGCCGGCGGTGCTCTGCCCGCCGGCACAGTACGGCCCCTCCCCAGGGTACTGTGGCGCTCCTTTCACCCCACGGCAGGTGGTCAAAAGTGCATGAGCTGCAGCTGCTCCCACTGACCACCCACCCGGGGTGAGGTCAGGTGCCCCGTCAGCCCTGTGACCCCTGTGACCGCTGGGCAGGTCAGTTACACTCGGGCTGATCCCGCAGTGTCAGGTGTCACTAAGACCACCGTCAATCACCCTAACACCAACCCACGCTGAACACCGTTTGAACGATACCAATTAACGGTCATCTCAAAGTAGCAAAATTCCAATTGTGGAATCAGTGATGGTCTCCTTGGCCACGTGTCTCACTGGCCGTGGATTTCCACCGTTGCGTGTCAGTTTGGCACACCGTCCGACAGGAAAGTGGCTGGAGTACGTCCCCTTTGTGCCGTTTTCCTGTTTGTTCCCGGGAGACGCGACTGAAACCCTCCTCAATAATAGTTCGGGAGGCAAAAGTGCAGCGGCAGAAAGAAAAGGCGGAACCAGCTCCCGGCGCTGGCGGCAAGTCCGAGGTTCTGGGATTTCGTCACAGCACTTAGTCACAACCTACGAGGACGGAGCACGACACGACTACGAGCCTTCATTCATTAGGTTCAGACAGTTTCAGCAGGAAACACGACCGCAACGTTTCAGTATGGTGAAGAGTGCGAAGCTGAGATTTCCGTGGCAAAACATCGAGCGTCTACATCTCTCATACGACTTGCCGCTATGACCGTCACGGAATAGCGCCGTGACCGAGGCATCAGCGTAGCACGGCTAGTCGTGACGATGACCAGTTCATCCGTGATGATGGTCAGGTCATACGTGACCGTAGTCTCGCAGTTCGCACAGAGCTCTCGTCCGTTCGCCGCATCACAGTCCGTGCCGGCCGAGCTCAGGAAGACCACTCATGAGCTCATGAACGCAACACGCTCATAAGGAGCGGGGAGCGCGGCGCATGGCGCCGATCACCGTCGGCAGCACGCACACAGCACCTGACGTCAAGGCTGCATGCGGTCGTGATCCGGGTTAACCGGTGTAAAAACTACGTCACCAACCGCCCAGGCAAGGTCGTTCTATTCTAGAAACATGCGGGAAAAAGGTAGTCATGCGAAGCTCTTTCAACATTAGCATGAACCAAATCGAGATGGCCGCCATTCCAAACGGCAAGTCATTCGTCTCAAAAGAAGATGACTTTGCCGATGAGTGTCATTGGAGCGTCTACGCTTCTCTTCATTTGTTTACCTTGCTTCAAGGTGTTGGGCCGCTGGGTCAGCCCACTCATCACAATGCTTGTAAGGACACTTGCATTGAAGCTTGAATAAAGCCATAGCTGAATTCTAATGAGCAAGCATCGTACGCAGTCATGATACGGAAGGAGAATAGTGTGAGAGCTCAGTGCGGAGGTGGACACTGCTTACACTTTTGTCCATTAAGTTGGGTTTTGCTTGAAAACTTCAATAAATTTACTAGCACGAAGAAAGTTTGCAATCGGGTAGCCTGCGGAACCCGAGTATTCCACGCGGTAAAACAAAAAGGTACACATCCTTCATCCGAAACTAGTCAATTTCAAATTCACCATCGCAGTACTTTGAACTGGACCAGAGCCAGCCAGCGATCAAACCAGCTACCAGTGTGGTCAGAAGTGTAACATCAGCGACTGGCACTGCCGGTCTGATCCCGAGCTGCACCTCACACGAGGCCAGCCTGTGGCTGATATTCAACCACAGTGACACTGTTGTGTGGCAGTCGACGTCCGGGGCACCATCCCGTCCATTCTCTGTACCCTCCCTCCCTGTTCTGCAGCGGGACCCAGGAAGCGACTCTGACCGGTGAGGAGTGGGTGCACCGATTCAGGCGAGTGGGTGACGCTGCCCCTGACCCCACCCATCGGCGTCCCGTCCCACTTCGGCGCATGAACCCCCACTGCCACCACGGCGACGCGACCTCTCGGTACAGATTATAGACAGGATTAGTGCGACAGTGCCACGAGTTGAAGCCGCCGCCCAGATAGGGCATACCTCTAACTGACTGCGGGGGAGGTAGGAAGGGGTTCGCGCCAGCAACCCCGTCTCAGACCGGCGGCGGCGAGTCATACAGAGACTGAAGGAGGTGGATGACCCACACCAGTCCCCCAGTCCGCGGCGGGGGGCACAGAGAAGCCGCTGAGAGGACACAGAGGAGCGGCGCCGAGTCATACCGACCGAGCAGCACCGCGACGACAGAGCCCGACGGCAAAAACCGGACCGCAGCCTTCAGCCGACGCCGAGTGACGAGGTCGGAGGACGGGGCGCCCAGAGGGGTGGGGTGGGGTGACACCCGCACCCCGGATCGAAAAACGGTCATCAGTCAGCGGTGGCCGGGCGCGGACGGCGGCGCTGCGTCTGTCAGCGGCGGCGGCACACAGAGGCCGTGTTGTCAGAGCTGCAGCGCTATCCGCCATCCATCTCTGCTCGGCGCGGCCAGAGAGCAGCCAGCCGCCCCGCCCGCGTATTCGCCAAGTGTATTATACGAATCGGCCGACTAATAGCGTGCCTCTTGAGTGACGTCAGCGTGGCGTCATACGTTCGGTCCTCGCCCTTGGTGGCGTCTATTGAAGCTAGGTTTTAAATTAAGGACATTTAAGCAGCTACGAATCTGTTGTCGCCGTGGCGAAGTGGTTAGAGTATCGGACAGGTGATACGGAGGTAGGTGGTTCGAATCCACTCGGCGACTTCAATTTTCGTGTCATCTGTCATTGTGCGTTTCTTTTTTATACATTTGCAACGGCGTGCACCTAAGAATTCAGAGGTAGGCATTCTTCTAATGAATATGTTGCATAAGAGAAATATTTGCAGTTCATCCTACGAGTAGGTATTGGTTCGGTTTCGGTATTTTCCAATGGTCTTTGTTTGTATTTGGTTTGGTATCGGTTTTCTGACTTTCTGTTCTGTGATTGACATCACTAATGCATCGTGCATACTATGCGAACGTAGCCAATGGAAAGACAAATGGTGCTGGGCGATGGCCATTGATCAATATTTCTCACTGCCAATGGGTGATAGCACGCAGCTCCTGCTGGATATGACAGGGGCGGCGCTGACCTTTTGAAAGTAGATGGGCACTTGGCAAGGTAAAGTACCTACCTAAAAGTAGCGAAAACTAAGATGAAAGGTAAAAATCGCACGCTGGTGAGCAGGCTATTATAGTCCGTTTTTCTTATCTTTAGACTTCACTCCAAGATGTTTCGCAAGATATGCACGAGACAAAGCATGGCTTAGAAAAAATCAAGCCCTTCGGAAACAGAAAATATTGCCTTGAAGCCTGGAGAGTGGCGCTCTTGGGTGCGGCAAGTGCAGATTTGTAGTCTCACAAATGTGTATTACATAAATAGGTAGGTACTTATACCTAGCTGCTACAAAAATTAAGTTGGATAAAGTTTGGTATGCTAACCGAACTATCGATCCGATGAATTAAAGGGTACCTATAAAAGCGAATATCACTTGGAAATGAACTATTCTGCAAATGGACACAAGTCATCATCAGTGACTTTAGTTCAAGACCTATAGGGCTTGGTTCCAGCCGAAGTTTTTTGAAACCGCAGGTGCGTGCGACTGCGAGTGCGGACCCAATGCAAGGAAATTCTTGAAGGAGCTCGGCGTGTGGCTCGTAACAAGTTCTGGCGACTGTCGTGAAGCACTTGGTTTGTGGTTCGCTATCGCAGACATTCGAGTGAACGCGTTTTCGATAGTATTGACTGTGACGTTGTAATCCTCACGAAGTATCATGTGGACGGGTTAGACTGCGTGACGAGAGGCGGAGATGAATTATGCCTGTGGAGGTAGGCAACCCGCAGGACATGCGTGTTCAGCGGCGCAGGCTACCAACACGAGTTGGCTATATGAGCGTGTGTTTAGCGATGAATGCAGCATTGATCGAAATTAACAAATATACATACTATTTCAATGTGATGACATGTTTTGCTCGTATTACCCGCTAGTGTCTACAAATCTACCACCAGTAACTCGTAATACAAATTACAAAAGACAGGAAACACAGGAGTCGTACTCGTATATTGGGTATGTTTGGTTCACCGAAGCCATCGTAGGTCCCATGCGCCCTCAATCACTTTCACTGTCACTGTCGTCACTGCTCGAATCCTGAAGTGACACGATCACTGGCTCGATGTCCTCCATCATACCATCTGCTCGCCAGTACACCTCTTCCAGTTCTCGCACGTGGCGGCAGCAGTTTCGCCACAAGTCCGGTGGCGCGGCGTCTCGGCTATCCAGCAGCAGCCTTTCCACGTCATTCAGATGCCCAGTGTTGTTGAACTGGCGGACGTGCGTCTTCATGTTTGCCCAAACCATTTCAATCGGATTGAGGTCGCAATGATATGGGGGCAACCTCAGTACTTCATGACCGGCCTCCTGTGCCACCTTGTCCAACACATACTCGCGTGTCTGTTTCAGAGGGCGAACCAGCTCAAGAAGCTCGACCTTCCGCAAGTCCGGATCAGGATTGACATCATGTACCCGCAGCCATTCTTGGATCGCTTCCTTCCTCCAGCTAGCTGTAGGTGCCTTGTTAGCACATCTTGAATGATACGAGGCGTTATCCATAATGATCACGCTATTCGCTGGCAGGTTCGGCAGAAGTTGGAGTCGAAACCAGTCCTTGAAACAGCTCGCGTTCATAGACGTGTGATAGTCGGCAGACTTGCCGTCCGTCCTCATACACATGAATGCTCCTGGGGTGAAGCCGCTGTCCGAGCCAGCATCGACTATGATTAGGCGCTTGCCCTTCCCTGTCACTGGCTTATGGCCGGCCACGTCGTCACTGTCCAACCACGCGACCGTTCGCATATCAAACTGGTTATACCAGGTCTCGTCCAAGTACACTATAGTGCGCTCTGGGTCGGAGCTTCTAATCTTCCGAATGCGTCTCAGGAACGCGTTCCGGGCTGCCACCACCTGAGGTTTTTCAACCAGCAGCTTTCGGTTGTTCACTTGTCGGAACTTGAATCCTATTTGGAACAGCTGCTTTCGTATGGTTGAGCGCGAGATAGTCTGCTCGAACTTGTCCTGAACTG